GAGTCATTTTGCTTTATTCCATCATAATCTCAAGCCAAAAAATAATGAATCTTTGGCTCCATTGCAAATGATCTTAAAAGGTAATAAGCAAAATTCATAAGCAAAATTCCAGTGAGTTTTCTCAGTTGCTTTCTTCGAGAGTATTAGAGATGAAGAGATGTTCTCTTAATGAATTATCAATCCCTAAGTGTGCACAAAATATCAAAGGGATGAGATTGACGCATCAAATATGCCATCAAGGTTGAGCGCCACTGCACCAAAGCTGCGCCGCCGCCTCGAGGATGAGCAGTTAGACCGCTGCCACTTCCTCGCCGGCGAGTGTCATGACCAATTTCCGATGCTCTCTCTTGAAGGAACAATCATAGCTTCTTTAATCCGGCATAATAACAACGGCGACACACTTTACTCAACAAAAGACACCTGTTTTTTAATTACTACGAAGCAAAACTATGTCGTTTGGGGATAGGTACACCATGGGGATGGTGCACCCATCCCACGATATAAATTGCGCCTGTCTGACCGGTTTTAAGAGATCCTCAGAAATGAAATGTCATTCTTTTTTTGAATGAGGCGGTTGAATTGAAGTCTGATTCAATCCTCATAGCGGCAACATGGAATTTCATCCAATGTGATCCATCGTGATTACTCTATCATACTGTCGAGTTGGAGTGTGGGACACCAGACAATCATATCTATAAATTAAATACTACGTACTATGTTGCTCGCGATATATTTCTCAGGTTTCTACAGAAAAATATTCTAAAAAACTCGAAATTATTTACATGAACATTTGTTTTTATGAACATTAGTTGATCTGCGTGTTTGTTTGTATACCTTTTTTTTTTACTAAAACACCATTCTCTATTAGATCAAACTATCGTTTGTCAACTAGCTAATACAACTCGGGATAGAATTAAGAATAAACTTGCCATCCAACATAAAAAATGCTTTCCTGGGTAGGTTGTGAGCAACACTATTCGTGGATCGCTTACTGACAGAAAAGATAGTTTCAACCTCAAGAATTTGTCTAATGTCTTCTAAGATAACATCCAAATAGGGGTCCCCCTCCATCGTCCAACTTTGAATCAACAACCAATGAATCCGTCTCAAAAATCACGCACTTCCATCTTTGATTTCTTGCCCACAAAACTATCTCTCGTAGCCCCATCACCTCCATTATTTAGGGTGACCAATTCGAATTCTAAAAGTTGATTGTTATATTTTCTTCCTGAAATAAGAGTAATATGACAATATTTACTGTCATCTTGTTTTCATTATTGAAAAGTAGTTGCACTACGAGGCATTAAACATGCCAATATTTAGGATGTTTTCTTTTAGACTTAAATTTGCTAATCTCGTCTAGTCTGAAATGGTCTGGTAAATGTCTGATCTTTGTATATTTTATAAGGGCTTTTTCCTTGAATATTACTGACTTGAAGCTAATTTCAAAAAATGTGACCATTTTTCTAAAAGGCCAAAAATGTGACTAAGAAGGTCATATATTTGGAAAATTATGATGTCACTATCATTTTTATGTCACTATTATATGTCACTATCATATTTTTATGTCACTTTTTCAATGTCAGTAATGGTTTTCGTGTCACTTTTGGATGTCACTTTACCGGAAAACGTGTCACTGTGTTGGCGGAAAATTTTCTGGCGACTTTTCGCCGGAAACCATCACCCGGCCACCTCAAAACTGCCACCATCGCACAGCACACTCCCTTGCCTCCCAACCCCCTCTCTTGCCCCTTTCCCTGCACCCCCAGCCCTCCTCCCCTTGCACCCCAGCCCCCTCACAGCTTCACAACCCCCTCCACCGCCTATCCCGCCACATAGCAACCCGCCAGAATTGACCTGCCCCAACACCATCTAACCACCGCGATCGTCGCCCCCACGCCTACCCCAATGCCAGTTCGGTGACCAATAACCCTGGCAGACTCCACCAGCCACCCACCAGATCCCAGCCATGACCCACCCAAGCTGCCACCATCCCTAACCTACGTAGGCCGAACCCTAGCCGCCACGACCTTCTAGATCTGGAAAAGCCCTACCGCCATGTGAGCTTCATGATCCAAATCCCAAAACGAGGACAGAAAGGGATGGAAAAAGAAAGTGAGCGGCGGAGCTGCGATGACGGTGCAAGGCGGAGGTGCTGACCTGCAGTTGCGGTGTGGGACAAAATTTTAGACGTGGCAGTGACGACAGCTCAATTGCCACGGGCGCGACCCTGACGAAGGAGGTGGAGATGGATGTGTGCTGTGAGGTAGGGAGATGAACATCGATTCTTCATTCATGACACGGAGGTGTGCCGTGAGGTAGGGATACGAAGGGATTTGAACGGACAGCGTGCATAGATCTGCGACTCTTCATTCTCAGGTGGAAAGAGCAGGTCACTTTTTTGGAAAACCACAAAGCACTCATATTTTTGTCTACAATAACTCTAGGAGTAATATCTATACCATTAATTTGTCCAAGTCTGGTCTGGTTTGTTTAAGTCTAATACGGTCTGATCTGAGCAGTATAAGTCTAATCTCGTCTGGTCTGAGATTGAAAACCGTCCAAAAGGAAACATCCTTATTATCTATCATTAATGCCAATGCTTTTCAATAATGGCGGCATTTTCAATCATGTTAGTATTGATTCATATTTCTCGAAGAAAAGCATATCAGTTCTATTTTGGAATTTCAAAACAAATTACTTGTATTTATGACGATTTCTCAAGAAATTAGTGTCATGTGGGTTTTCTGTATAATTGGACCTTCACCTTTGTGAAATGTGAAGTGTAAACAAGTGAGCACATCACAAAGGTGATCAAGGTGTAAAGGTGTAACTATACCCGCACGGGTAGCTCAGTTGGTTCAGTGGTGGGAAATTTGGACCAAGTGACCAAGGTTCGAAACCCGCAACGGCCGTGTGGAGGTCACAGAACCTGAAATAAGGCTGGGCCTCTGGTGTGCACGGGAAAAAGGCCTACCATCATTGGGCCGACTGAGTCACCGTGATTAACATCCTCCCAAAAATCCTGTCGGGTCGGGGTAGGGATGGACTGGGCCAGGCCGAACCGGCCCGGAACCGGACCGGCCCGCTACTGTGCGGGCCCGGACCGGACCGGGCCCGGTTGGCCGGTTCCGGGCTTTTAGCCCGTGTGGGCGGGTCGGGCGGCCCGGGCTCGGGCCCAGTTTTGGGCGAACCGGCCCGGGCGGTTCGGGCCGGGCCCGGGTCAATTTTTTTTTCAATTTTTTTTCTTTTCCTAGGGTTGGGCTGGGTGTTTTGGGGAGGTTTGGGGGGTGGGGTGAGGGGGGGGTCGGGGGATAACAAGAAAGCAAAAAAAAATAAGTATTGAACCGGGCCCGGCCCGAACCGGCCCGGTTAGGCCCGGACCCGGTAGCAACCCGGGCCGGTTCCGGGCCCAAGGAATTGCAAAAAAAGCCCGCCGGGTCCGGCCCGGAACCGGAACCGGCCCGGCCCGGGTCCATCCATAGGTCGGGGTATGAGGAGCTCCTGGGGTGGGAGATTCCACCTTTTTGGACCAAGATAAAATACAACTAAATTCACCTTTTAACTTTTATGAAAAAATATTTTATATTAAATTCCTTCAAATTAGTACGATGATAATCAAAACACCATGCATCTAGGATCAGACATTTAGAAGACAACTCCTGGAGGAGGCATTTGAATTTCTGAACACAAAACAGGCTTATTAAGCCTGGCTTAATGAAACCACACTTGAAGTTTCTAGTCATCCTGGTACTGGTTTCGGCACTCCATTCTATTCTTACTGAAGTAGCTAAAAGAATAAAGAATCTGGAAGTTTGAACTTTGCAGTCTTTACATACAATACATACAAACTAATATGTATGAATAAGGGTAAGCCCGTTTTAGGTATTAAAATTTGTTGGTGGAATAATCTAGCTAACTTGACATGTACTATATGCTTAAGTGTGTCCTGACATTCTATGGGCTTTATGAATAATGTATGAGTAATTTTATTATATAAGTACGAGTATAACACATCAAAGAAATTAATAAATGAGACGGTTAGAAAGATTATATTTAAATATTTGGTTAGTGACATCCGAGAATACTATGTAACTAAACCAGCGTAATGGAAAAGTAGTACAATTTGTATTTGTCATAAAGAATTTTGAATTAGGGAAACATGTGAAAGTTATATCTTATATGAAGAAAAACTTTCATATTTCAAATCACATTTATTAATTCTTTCATTTCATGAGAGAATTAAAGAAAATTAGCAAAATACTTCATTCCTTAATTCTTGCAACATTGTGATTTTTGCACTATTCATAGACCTCATTTTGACCACGATTTTCTACTAATATACATAATCAAATTATTACCTATAAAATGTTATTAAATTCCTATCAATGTGCATTTCCAAAATATCAATTTTTTATAATGTTTACTAATACATAATTAAATATAATTACAGTCAAAGTTGTGCGTTGGCCAACATGAAAATCAAACTGTTGCAAAAATTAAAGAACGGAGGATAGTACTACGGATTATCAATAAATTATGAGTTTAGATGAGAAAAGTATATATAAAAAATTAACATTTATGTGCTAACTCTTAATGAATCAAAAGAAATGGTGAAGTTTGTTTCCAACGAATTCAAGTGTGGATGTTTAATTTCAAAATTTTAAACTTGTAGTTTGTAGATGTTTTTGAATAATGAATTGAAAGTATAGGAAAATTATAAGTGATATTTTTTTAAATTTTTATAGATATATAATAAAAATAAAAATGTATGTATGTGTATATATATATATATATATATATATATATATATATATATATATATATATATATATATATATATATATATATATATATGATTGGGAAATTTATGGGCCCTAACGGAGCAATGGGCCCTCGACGCATGCCCCATTGCCCATGTCCCAGAACCAGCCCTGGTTAAAACATTGCACCTGGCGCCGACCCTGTCCTACATGCTCCTAGCTTAGAATGAGGAGAGATAAAGTAAAATGAAGTACTGTAATACTACGTAAATAAATAGTAGAAACATGCGAGTAATACAAATAGAAGGATATGAGAATCAAAAGATGTTTTTTGTAAGCGCAGAAAGATTCCAACACTTGGTTTTCTGTGCATCGTTTCATTGTTTGTTGGCTCCTTTTCAGCAATTCACTTTCAGGTGCCTCGTACATCTTATTGTCATATCTAAGATTCAGCATGCTTCAGTCTTTTGCTTAACAAGTATGCTGTCCCAATACCAAGTTCCAAGAAAGTGGGAAATCAAAAGGCCTAGCAATCTTATCTAGCTGCAACTGGCAAGTCATGAGAGTAAAACGAAAGACCGTCCATTTACAGAGCTCTGGGAAATGTATAAAAACCATTCTATGACTGAGAGTTTTTAACGAGCTGTGTTGAGTAAGAGCCTCTCAATGGCAGCGACATAGAACTCCTTGGGCATGGTACCAATGACAGAATCGCACTTCTCTCCCTTATTATTGAACAGCAGCACCACCGGGACCGCTTTGATGTCATAATTCTCAGCTATTTGCACGTCCTTGTCTGCATGGAGTACCAAGCATTTTATCCTACCTGAATAATCGGCTGCGATCTCATCAACCACCCTATGGACCATCTGACAGGGCCCACACCAACTAGCATAAAACTCTACCAGTACAGGTGTATCGCTGGCCAGAACCAGTTTGTCCCATGACTTACCAGTCACTATTGCAGCTGAAGATCACCAGAGGAAAAAAACTCAGTGAAGATAGAAAAGTTCTTGCTGTACTCAGTTTTCATACAATAGCCAAACACAATTGGTAGTACTAAGATTTCCTAGCACAATTCTTATCCATCAGCATAGAAGAATATAAAATACAAAAGAAAGTAGCAGTACACTCAAGAAACAACTTCTCCCTGGGTACTTTTAAAACATTAGTATTACACCTAACCTATCCAGCCCATCCTCGTTTGACAATACCCAACATATTCCTAATCATTAACTCAAGAATCAAGTTTTCCAGGAACTCCAGTAAGGCTATATAGTGAAAGTAAACCTTTCACTAACCCATTATGGTATACAAAGCACCGTCAATGGAAATGAGCCTATAAGCATTACCATTCACCATTTCTATCCCCCACCCGGCCCCAAAACCAAGCACTTCCTCAGTGTACTTCGATAATATACAAAAGTAAAACATACATTTACGGTAAGGCATATTTACAAGTTAAAAAAGAAGACAATATTCAACTATAAGGCATCCCCACCAGAGCCTATTTTGAAGCAAAGGAAATATATACTTCGTATCTAAATAAAGGACCTAACAAGAAAAACACCCAGCAGCTGATAAAAATAAAATAGTGTAAACTCACAATGGTTAAATTTTTCCACTGCTTTCAGTCCTGAATGAACATCACTTCAATGTTTTAATTTCTTCCATTTTCATGATCCTTGTTTCTTGATAAACGTGCACACACTGTTTCTTGTTGAAAATAAATCCTCTCAATTAGAATAAAAAGTATTTTTAATCATATATGGATGGCATGGGAAACTTGTAACAATATCCAGTAAGAATTGATCCATGACAATCTGGCTCTGAATCCTCCTAAGAAGAAAAGGGTATGCAACTATTCACCAACAAAGTTACCAAGAAAACCAACGCAATTGCACTACTAAGAAAGGTGAGGCAATAATTCTACCCAAGCAACTTAAAGACACAACACGTTCCATGTTGGTAGACCTATGAGTAAAAAGAAATTGCAAAAAGTTATATAATTGACTATGTCTTCAAGCAAAGGAGACGATAATAACTAAACGATCATTAAGGTATTCTCTGATAGTCTGATTAAAGGAAAAGTTAGGAAGACCCATTCAAAAGAATAAATAACAGAAGATAAAAGGAACCAGTTGGTGAAATACATTTAAAAGTTATAATGGATACCTCCTATAAAATAATGTTCAACAGTTTTTAAACTAACCATGTTATTCAATAAATATTTTATAATTCTTATAATACCCTCTTCAGTTCATTAGGAATTATTGGTGATACCCACACTGGACTCACGCACACCAACTAAGAGACAACGAGTTTATGTGGTTACAGTCTCACAGAGTGGGTACGCCTAACACTTCTCTAATGAGTAGAAGCACCCATATAAGGAGGCAACAACTAGGTGCCTGTGGTCACAAGAGGGTATGTTGGAACACATTCCCCATGTCTAAAAACACTAATCTACCACCACGGCCACCCAGTCAGTGATGTGTGATCATGGCCACAATATGAAGCTTTCACCTACCCGAAATGAAAGGCATACTGATGAGATGCATGCAAATGGAAAATTTATTTAAAATCGTCATTCCTTCCCTCATATACAATTAAAGGGGGTTGGAATCCACTCTTCTTATACTGATCTAAGCCTTGTCATGTAGCCTTATGTGCCCTAATTTCTACAAGTCTTCCTTTGCCACCATTCCTCTTAACCCGACAGGCTATTGAAAGCCCAAAAAGAATGGATTCAATAAGCTTAAACAGAATAACAGGCGCTTCTAGCGAAAATACGACGCATTACTATCGTACTCGAGATGATTATTGAATCAGATCACGACATCTGCTCCTTGAAACTGTACTGTGAAATGTTCGAAACACTTATTATCATGTACATATACCTAAACACATACTCCGTATATCATTTGAAATCCACAATGAGAGTGGAATGTGCACACCGTGTCGAGAGAGAGAGAGGTCAGTTTCTAAACCTTTGGAGTCGCGTAAACAGGAGACACGCAAATGGGCGGCGGGTAGAGATTTCAAGTTCCTCCTTAGCGGTAATGGCCCGATGTTGAGATTCACCTTCTGCTGAAAGGCGAACGGCGGCAAACGCGGAGAACGGTGGCAAAGAGGCGTCTGTTGAAGTGATAATGATGCAGGGCCGGCACAGCTCGAAGCCATTTCGATTGTGATCACCCGATTTCCTGAAACGGGTCGCTTACAGCACCAGTAATTCACGACTTCCAGATCCCGAATTCCCGATTTCCACGGTCAAATTTCTCTTGACAATACACTCCGAGGTGAGACAGGTGAGGACACCGGAATAGAAAAACAGTTCCCGGTGAAACTGTAACAGAAATAAGAACGATTGGTTTTGGAATTGGGCCGCCTTAATTGGAATAGACCATTCCACTTTGGACCGATTTGGAGTGGGGCTGGTCCAGTTTGGACCGAAACCATTTCAGTTTCTTTTCGAAAATGACTACTTCAGTTTGAATGGAATTATGATAAAAAAAGTAAACAAATACGTAGCACTCTGTCGGGCTGCACATTAGGCGGGTTGGGTCGGGTTTGCTATATTTTTTGGCCTACCCGATATGTTCGGGTTGGCTATTAACCAATCCGCGGTACGCAAAAAGAGTTGGTAAACAATGTATGAACGGGTCAGGTAGGGTCGGGTATTGGGGGAAAATCACTTCAGGTTTCATCTTTCATGTGATAAATTAATGTAACCAATTTAAAACTCGATTAACTTGTTTCCAAAACACACAAACAAATACAAGTAAACGTATATTTTATAAGCAAAAACATTAGGTAATAGTATTAAAACATCCTTCCGTAAAGGAAGTTCATTTAGAAGGAAAAGAAAATATATAATAATCACCCAGTCAAAACGATAAATGTTTAATTATAATTCTAATCTCATAAAGTCCTAGATAGAGCACATTGGTCTTAAATCGAAATTATCCAAGAAAACGTTGTAGCATAATAGTAAAATGAACTTCGGCTGAGTCGGGTACTATCGGGTTCGAGATTTTAATTCCGCAACCCTACCCATTAGATGCGGGTTCAAACATATTTAACCCATGAATATTTTTAAAAATCAAATACCCGATTAAATAGGATCGGGTAGGGTTGGGTCGGGCGGGTTATAAGGGTTCGGGTTATTATTGTGCAGCCCTAGTACTCCGTAATAAAAAGGGTGTTTGATATTAATTCTACTCCGTATTTTGATTTCTTTTAAAGACCATAATCTATTACAATTAAAAAAGAATTAACTATTCATATTTCAAAAAACTATTCCGGGTTGAGTTTTCAATATTGATATAATACCATTAACTTGCAACTTAATATTAATATTTATTTATTTTATAATTATTAAGATATGTTTGATAAAATCTTACGATTTGCGATTCGATTTTACGATTCGATTATCAAGACCATCTACCGATTCGATTCAAAAATACGATTTTAACAACCTTGATTAGAGGTGATCAATGTTGGAGCGCCTGTTTTATTAGGGTGGCGGGCAAGTTAGGACACCAAGAAACCGGATGGAGATGCAAAGGAGGAGTCCCGGTGGGTAAAACCAAGTTCGGGAGCGAAGAGAGAAGAGCACGTGGATGGGTCGCAAGACCGATAAGCAAGGATTACTAAGATACCGGAGTAAGGGAAGCAATCAATTAAGAAAAATGTTTCATGTCTCGTAGAAGGTGTCTGATGGAGTATATGGCCCGGGAACACCCGGCCCACAGACTCCTACTACTCCTTTAGAGGCCCAACAGGCCCAGAAGGTCCAACAGGCCCAAATCACAGCGCCCAGAGTACCAAGCAGCCCACACTACGCGCCAGGGGTGTCTTCGGCCCCCTGGCCGAAGGCTCTAAACTCTCGCAGAACGGGTTTCTCAAGCAAATTAAGAAACTGGGAAGAAACGGCGAAAACAGTAGCCCTCGGCACTGTGAGCCCTCGGCACCAGGGTGCCATCGGTTGGAGGAGCCCTCGGCTACTGCTCTATGGCCGAAGGCATCTCACTCGACAAGATATCCGCCTCACATGCGTACAAGATCACCGTACCCTGCACAGACGTCCCATCCAACAGCCGCATTAAATGCGGCCACATGCGCCTGCCAGTGCCAACCAGTTGAGGTGACCCCTCGGCCAATGAGCGCTTGACACGTGCCCCTGCCCGGCATTTATTGCTACTATAAATAGCACCCCATTTCCCCATTTGTAACCACGCTGAAAACGGCATTCATACTGAATACACTCTCTCTCTACTTTTACTTACTTGCTCTGACTTCTCTCTAAGTTATTCCCCGTAATAACCCTTCGGATATATACCCCCGGGTAGACTATCCATCATTTGGTGCTCTCGTTGAGAGCTCGAACAATCAAGTAAGAAACCCTCCCCCTCGACCAAACACAAAACACAAGCCCTCTATCAAAATGGTGAGGACAACACGTGCCAACTCAAAGAACGTAGAAGACAAGAACCTGGCCCTCGGCGACGTCAACGCCCCCGAAGCCTCTCACAGGGCTCCCGAGGGCGGTGTCATCGCCGGGCTGGAACAGGCGGCTGTCGACCTACGCCTTCAGATCCAACAAAATGCCCCCGATGCCCGCCTCGGCATCGAGGCCAAGAAGAAAAACCGGAGCGATGACCAAGTCAGCCCTCCGGTTCTCACCATCGACGTGCAATCGGCGCTCTCCGCCTTCATCCAAACGCTCACCCAGAACCCGGGTGCCTTCGGCACCCTGGCTCCAGCTCACCCTCAGGTTGGGGAAAACATCATACTTCCCCCTCTGCCACACCCCTTCGGAAATCCCACCCCTCGGGTGAGGAACGACGAGGGGGTGGTGGCCCAAGATACGTCCTCCCAGGAAGTTCAGTCCCGGGACCGCCATAATGACAACAGGGAAAGGCCCCGTACTTCCGCCCTCAACCGGCTCGGAGGAGGGCCAGACCGCCGAGGGGTCCAAGACCGCCTCGGGGGGAAAGCACTCCAAAGGCCCCAGGAAAGCGGGGGATCTATTTCGAGGGCAGACGAGGAGCGTCCCCCTCGGGACAAAGGCAAGGCACCCCTTCATGCCGATGATGCTCGGCACCAAATCAACCAGGCCCACTCGGCCCGGGTTCGTTCGCAGGGGGCGGAGACCCTCCCGAAAGATCCCCGAGACGAGATTATTGCGGCCCTCCAACGCCGGCTTGACGAGATGGAGTCCAACAAAGCTCACGCCACCACCTCCACCCCTCATTCAGATCTCAGATACGAGGCCATGATGGCCAAAATGGAGGAGTTACAGAAGAAGGTGGCCGAGGGCTCCGGGGAACCCGTCATCCAGCTCCGGACTCGGACGCCATTTACCCCAAGGGTATTGGCGGCCCGGATCCCGGAAAAATACCGAGGGCAACATATACAGCCCTACAACGGAAAAACGGACCCCCAGGAACATTACAGCAAGTACCAGAACAACATGATGATGGTAGGGGCGTCAGACGAATATTTGTGTCGTTGGTTCCTCTCCACCTTAGAGGGGCCGGCATACGAATGGTTCAACAGGCTGCCCGAGGGCTGTATTGATTCATGGCAAGAACTCGCCCATCGATTCTTGACACAATTTGTCGGGAGGCGTCGCACAAGGAAGCACTTCTCCCACCTCCTAACAATACGTCAGAAGAGGGATGAGACCCTTCGGGACTTCCTAGAGCGCTGGAGGACGGAGGCCGACAAGGTCGACGGTGCTGATGACGGGACCCTCCTGGCCCTCCTACAAACCGTCCTCCGCACCAGCAACTTTTCAAGGAGCCTCATCATTGAACCCCCCCCCCCCCCCCCCCCCCCCCGCGACTACATAAGGGCTTTGCAGCGGGGGGACCGATATGCTGAGGCCGAGGAGGTGGAGAAGTATCACCAGCATCCGGACCAGCAGCCCCCGAGGGCTGACAACAAGCATAACCGAGGGCCGGGGGCTCCTCCAAATCACCCCAAGACTTCGGGACCCTCTGATGACCGCCCTCGGCAAGGCCAAGCCAAGCCCGGGGGAGGTTATAAGAGCAACCCTAAGACTTGGGCACAACCCATTCTCCTGGACCGCCCTCGGACACCATTGACGCACCCCGTCAGCATCATCCTCGATTTTGCCGAGGAGAGGGGCCTCGTTGAGCGCGACTCTCGCGCACCCCCGGAGGTACACGCTATCAACCCTCAGTTCCCCTACTGTCGCTTCCATCGGCACCAGGGGCACAGGACCGATGACTGCCATCATCTAAAGACGGCCATCGAGAGGTTAATACAAGCAGGGCACCTGTCCCAATTTGTTCAGAGCCCTCGGCAGGATGGACCTTCTCATCAGGGGCCTCCCCGAGGGCACCACACGAAGGTGAACGCTTGGGTAAACCCGAATACCATCCCCCTCGGCAAGAAGAGGGAGATTGGGAACTTGGAAGAAGAGGAGGAGGAGTACCCCCACTACCAGGAGAAGAAACGCCACATCCTCATGATCACCGGTGGCAATACAGGGGGCGATTCCACCAGCCAGCGAAAGAAGTGGGCTCAATCGCTTTACGTGGGGGAAGTCACTCATATGCCCCCGGTAAAGCGACTGAGGGAGGAACCCATCACCTTCACCAACGCAGATCTCCCTCCTACTTCTTCTCCTCACAGGGATGCCCTGGTAATTCGGACGGAGATAAGCGACACCATCATTCACCGAACTTACGTTGACACGGGCAGCTCCGTCAATGTAATGTACCTCAGCACCTTCAGAGAGCTGCATCTGGAGAGGGGGTCCCTTCGTCCCATTAAAACCCCTCTTGCCGGTTTCACCGGCGACACTATTGATTCCGAGGGGGTAATAACCCTCCCGGTGATCTTCGGCGACGGGCTCCATAGAGCCCAGCTCGAAGTGGAGTTCGTCGTCGTCAACATTGACTGCGCCCACAACATCATCCTCGGCCGGCCAGCCCTCGAGGACCTCGAAGCCATCATCTCCATGAGGCACCTCTGCCTCAAGTTTCCCACCGAGGGGGGCATTGGCTACTCCCGGGGGAACCAGAAAATTGCCCGCGCCTGCTATCTTCAGGTCACTAAGAAGGTAAGCAAGACGGAATTCCGTGTTGACACCATCACCGGAACCGTCGACCAAGAGGAAAGAAGGCCGAGGGCTGAACCGGCCGAGGACGTAGAAGACTTCGCGCTCGAACCGGCCCAGCCGGAGAGAGTCGTGAAGATTGGAGCCCAGCTCCCTGAAGATCTGAAGACCGGTATCACCGACGCCCTCCGCACCTACTCCACTGTCTTTGCATGGGGGCCGGAGGACATGCCGGGAATTAGCCGAAGGGTCATCACCCACCGCC